TAACGAGTATAAAAGGGCCTTAGATAGCAAATCTATAGCTCTTTACTTGGTATCGCCAATACAACATACTCTTTAACCTATTCCTTATACTCATTTCTTAGTCCTTGATCAAGGTTCTCTTTATCTACTTCATTCTATTGCTTGGTCTGCTTTCTTGACAGCTACCACCAGTAGTCCCCCCGACACGCGTTCCACTTGTCGTCGCAAGCGTTGCTGCTGCCGCTGCCCTCTTCTGCTGGTTGATGAGCTTATCCTTTAAACTCTGGGCCTGTCTCGCTGCTTCGTTATCTGCAGCCCCGGTCAATCGTCTCCTCTCCAAAATAACCGGTGCCCACTCATCACTGTCTGCGGGTCCCTGCATATGCTGCAAACTGTCCATATAAGACTCGAAGGTTGTTTCATCAGGTGCCACACCCAGCATCCCCTCAAGGACCGCAATGCGCTTCTGTAACAAGATCATCGTAAGAACGCTCGGGTCGACCGCTCTCTGCAGCAAGAATAACAAATCAGCGAACTTGGGTAAGTCCTTGACTTGGTACACATCCATCAACCTCTTCATCCGATGGTAGTACTGCTTGTACGATTCACCTCGTTCTAACCCCATCTTGATCACCTTCTCAACCTCATCTGTTCTCTCAGTCTGCGTCATAGGAGGCCTTTCAGGTCCAAGTTATCATATGGTGTTTGTTACATCTCTGTAGATCTCGACAATATCCATAGCGACTATGGGATGAGAATGTATATATGATACCAAGCATATAAGACAACCATTGTAACATTTTTTGTTCAACTATCCTACTAAACACCAACCTATTCTCCAAACAACAAAGTCTTCTTATTTTTCGCACACCACACTCTTGAATATGTCCATCTACTATTAACCTGTAACCCTCACTGCAAGATTCGCCAGAGTAGTTCTTGTATGCGGCCCCTTCATGTGCAGAGGATATAAAAAGGCATATAAAAAATATCCAAAGTCCAAGGAACGGAGTGTTGACTTCCATAACTGGCATATCTCTTCATAGTGGGCAACAGAACACAGAATAAAATAGCAATAGACAGCACAAGAATTTTTAAAATGTAATCTCTCCCCTGTATTTCACGACAAAGATACAGTTGGGAATACAAGTGCTTTAGATGATCACATACAAGAACTACTCTGTCGAATCTTGCAGTGAGGGTTACAGGTTAATAGTAGATGGACATATTCAAGAGTTTGGTGTGCGAAAAATAAGAAGACTTTGTTGTTTGGAGAATAGGTTGGTGTTTAGTAGGATAGTTAAACAAAAAATGTTACAATGGTTGTCTTATATGCTTGGTATCATATATACATTCTCCTCTAATGGACGCGGTGGATATCGTCAAGATCTGCAGAGATGTAACAAACACCATATGATAATTTGGACTTGAAAGGCCTCCTATGTCATCATCTAAAGCACTTGTACTCTCAACTGTATCTTTGGGGCGAAATACAGGGGAGAGATTACATTTTAAAAAAACATGTGCTGTCTATTGCTATTTTATTCTGTGTTCTGTTGCCCACTATGAAGAGATATGTCAGTTATGGAAGTAAACACTCCGTTCCTTGGGCTTTGGATATTTTTTATATGCCTTTTTATATCCTCTGCACATGAAGGGGCAGCATAGCACTCTCCACAAACACTTTCTCGCATCTCGCCCACGGCCACTTTCCTTCAGGGTCACGACTCAAGACTGCATTCATGGCATCAGACGCTTTGCGATCCATATTCGCCAAGCACAACAACCTTGAACATCTCTCATCGAACCCGCCCGTCGTGAACTTTGTTACTCCTATTCTATGGAACTCGTACAGGAACTCTCGGACGTTGGTAATCAAGGGACCATGGATCTTGATGTCAAGAACAGGAAGCAGATGAGCCTCGACCAACCGATGGTAACGCGGAAACTCATTCAACAACTTGATCTCGTCAATCTTTCCACCCTTCTTAACCCCCAACTCCTCATTCTCCTCTCTGGTCACAACACTAGAGAATGCCGTCCTCCCCATGGACCTCTCAGCACTCTCTAGGTCATCCAGCATGACATTCCACTCGTTCATCGCGGTCTTGGCCTCAGCGATCTGACGTGTTAGTTCCGCCAACTTTGGTCGCTCCTGGTCGCCCTCCTCTTGGCTCAACCCTTGGATGCGCGCGGCTAACTGCATCTTCTGTCTCGTCAACGTCGCCAGTTGCATCGAATACTCCTTCATCTTTCCTCTGGCTGCATGGGCATCCATAAAGTCAGAGCCAACAGTCTCCTGCATGTCAACATCAACGTCCATGCCTGCTCCCTCATCTCGTCCCGACGTCAAGGTAAGTGCATCTAACGCACCAACAACCTTATTGCCAACGTCCTCGTTCTTCTTTGCCGTATTCGCTGCCATTCTCTATGACCCAATTAAAGGAAAAGAAAACAAACAGACAAGCAGAATAAACAGAAAACGAAATGAGCTTTTGAAAACTGATGATCAACCAGACTGCACCCCAGAAAAAATAATACTGTTACTATTAACGTCAACTTCCAGTACTTTTTTGCTCAGTGATCCACTTGATTCAAAATAAAAATAAAAAACAACACCCAGAAAAAACTAAAAGTTTTCTGATGCAAATGAATTCGGATGAGGGCACACCTAAATGCCAACAAAGACGAATCCCGCGTTTATTTGAACAAGAATGTCCTTGATCAAAACTAACGGTGAGTTTTCTAATGAATCTCTGCTACCGTGTTATATGAAGACCTCAAATGACCACACAGATGTATGATCGCACTTGAAAGCTCCAACACAAAAAGGTAGAATAGTAACCAAATAATAACAACGAAAGTAACCGCCTGTTACACTTCGTATTAATGATCAGTCTCTGCTGTAACCTTGTCACTAGTGACCAGATACACGCACGAAATGACCACAAATAAAAGAAAAGGATCCTGTCCTTGTTGGATTATCCTGAAAATAGAGAAAAATCCTGACAGTAAAGGTCCTGTTCTGTAATGATCCGTAAATGCTCCCGTTACGTCCTGAATCGCTCCTGTAGATTGATGGAGTGTTCCTCGTAATGGGTTGAATGAATAAATAAATGAGTGGATGGATCCTGTCAATCGTTCGACGGATTCTGATCCCGATCCGTGTTGTATTTATCAAAAAAATGAAAATATTTACGCTAGTCACGCACAATCGACTTGATAAGACAAGAGAGGGATCTTTGTTAACAGCCCAGACACCTCCATTTATGTAGGTGTCTGGTCATATGACTAAATTACTGTCTCTAGCCTAATTACATTAGCTGACATCCCCGAGACAGGCAAATATGCGACAGATGTTTAAAAAAACCATTTCCGTGCGACGTGTACATGAAAAATCGCTTAATGTAATTAGGCTAGAGACAGTAATTTAGTCATATGACCTGACCAGACACCAACATAAATGGAGGTGTCTGGGCTGTTAACAAAGATCCCTCTCTTGTATTATCAATTTGATTGTGCGTGACTGGCATAAAAATTTTCAACCCTATTCCCTTACCTCTTGCCTGTTCCTTCCGGTTTCCTGGCAGAGGTGATAGCTAATCACGGAGGTGGTAAGTAATCACGGAGATGATAATTGTTATAAATAATTACGGATATGATTTGTTGAGCACCGACCATCTGTCATGTGGTGATGTGGTCACTAGCAGCACTTCTTCATTAAATAAAAAGACGGGGTAAAATAGTAATAAAAACCTCGTACCGCAACATTAGCACGTATTAGTCAGCACCTATTAGTCAGCACCTATTAGTCAGCACCTATTAGTCATCACCCATTAGTTAGCACCCATTAGTCAGCACCCCATTAGTCAGCACTTCTATTAGTCAGCGCCCATTAGTCAGTAACATCCACTCTGTATATATAGCCCCAATCCTTATAATAATACCATTATCAATTCTTGCACCTTTCAACCTTGCTCTCCTGTTCCCTCTTATTTCTTCCTTATCTTTGTCCTTGTCCCCTGCCCTGTATCTCTATTTCTATTACAACACCTCTGCGCAATATGAACAGCAGGCTCGCTTGCTGAGATAGCGGAACCATGTGTGGAAGAATCCTTCAAAAGAAACTTGTAGTGGATTGAGTTGGGCAAACCAGAAGGTACGTTTTGAAATCCTGCAACTTATAATAACTTTCGTTTTCGGCGCCCTGATGCAACTAAACTCATGCTTATATTGTCCTCTGGGCATAAATATGCATAGGTGTAATCATCACCATCAGAGACGAGAGCAAGACCTCTACCGCTTGTGAGTTGGACCTCGATACGGCTGCTGAAGGTAGGTGTGATCTGCTTTTCTGAAGAGTGGAAGCTAATATCATGTTACATTTCTTGAGTGGTTGATAGTGAGGAGCGTGTTGTTCGATGGCTCATCTATATTTTATTGTATTGTCCTACCCACATTGTTGCACACTGCTAAACACTGCCATCTCTCAAATGACATTGTGAAATTTTCTTTCTTAGATGCCAGGTCATCACCAGGCCACACCATTGCTGTGCCCCCTCTTAGTGTGAGATCGAGTCCATTTCATAACCTCATTCTGTATATGTTCCGGAAGGTATGTAAATGATAATGTATGCTCCTTTGTATATGGGTAAATGGGCCTATCGAGTTATAATGAATGGGCCTCTCAAGTTATAATGCTAATGCTCTAGGCTAAACTATTGTTGCAGGCAAAGAGAAGGACTGCTTTCCTCCCCACCACTATTTCCAGCGGACTGTCGAAATTGCACAGAGAAATGTATGCGGCTGCCCTGGAAGAACTGAAATAGCCAGGCCCTGTTATCAATAAGAAGGACGTGCTGTAAATGAAGCTTTGGTTTGCCGGCAATGTAGCATATGCCAAACAAGTCGGGCACCATTTGCTAATTGCTTTGCTTGTTTATTCTCATAACGTACTACTGTCCACCATCATCAATACACTCTTATCATGTGGCCGGCGTTTCAGTATCTCCAAGAGCATTATGGAAGCATCTGTTTCCGGACTATATCATAGCTCTGACTTCTACAACGTTGTTAAGAGCCTGCTCCGTAAGCTCCTATTCGCCCTGCATCCGCAGATTGAACAAGATCGACACTGCCCACCTGACTTTGGACAGCTCAAAATGCGAGTCTGGATTCTGATGCTCGACAGTGCTAAGAAGTCAGCTTTCTACACCGTCTTACAGATCGTCAACCAGATTCTTCTTTGGATCGAACTTGAGATGTTTGCGCCGCCGACATCAGAACATATGTACGTTTCCGCTTGGTCCCTTCTTTTCAACATTCTGCTCTTGGACACGAATATCAGAGCGATTCCGTAAGTGACTATATGTAGTATCTTGCTGCTCTTTCCTATGTTCCTTTCTCGTTTAATGTAGGGGTGAGTTGGTGTCCAAGGCCAGCACGAACGCACTCCAGCATATGGAGAGCACCTTCGGCTCCGCGACGTCAACCTCGTGTGGCCGGAAAGTCGACATGAGTGTCCGCATCCGCGTGGATAACCGGTGGATGACTGAAATTGCGATTTGAGTTCAAGTCGTCTACGGCCAGCTCAGAGATATGCCGCAAGCAGCAGAAGAAGTCTGTGCGCCTAAATGCCGCCATCATGCTTGAGCTTGAGTCATGTGACCTGAACATCAATCATTCCTACCCGATCATTGCAGAGGGCCAAGCCCTAGAACTCAACTTCTACACCCTACGGCGATATGGCATTGTCCTGGGCGCCGGCAAGGCATCAACAAAAGTAGCGTTGCATTCGCAGGTGGAGCACCTGAAGGCGTTCTTTGGGCCCGACGTGATCTTCATACTACTAGCTTTTAAAGTAAGAGACTTTATCTGCTATTGCCCAAGGAGGCCTTTCGTCCAAATTATCATATGGTGTTTGTTACATCTCTGTAGATCTCGACGATATCCATAGCGACTATGAGATGAGAATGTATATATGATACCAAGCATGTAAGATAACCATTGTAACATTTTTTTGTTTAATTATTCTAGGAGGCCTTTCAAGTCCAAATTGTAATATAGTATATGTTACATCTCTGCAGACCTTGACAATATCTACAGCGACCATTAGAGGAGAGTGTATGTATAATATCCACCATGTAAAACAACCACTGTAACATCCCTTGCATAACTATCCTACTAAATACCAACCTATTCTCCAAACAACAAAGTCTTCTTATTTTTCGCACACCAATCTCTTGAATGTGTCAATCTACTATTAAACTGTAACCCTCACTGCAAGATTAAGGGTAGTGCTTCTTGTATGTGATCATCTAAAGCACCTGCACCCTCAACTGTATTTTGTCGTGAAATACAGGGGAGAGATTACATTTTAAAAAACATGTGCTATCTATTGCTATTTTATCTCATGTTCTATTGCCGACTTTAAAGAGATACATCAGCTATGGAAGTCAACACTGTATTCCTTGGGCTTTGGATATTTTGTATATGCCTTGTTATCTCCTTTGCACATGGAGAGGCCGCCTACTAAACACCATCATATTCTTCAAACAACAAAGTCTTCTTATCTTTTGCACTCCAATCTCTTGAATGTCTCCATCTACTAATAAACTGTACCCCTCACTGCAAGATTAAGCAGAGTACTTCTTGTATGTGATCATCTAATGCACTTGTAGTCTTAACTGTATCTTTGGGGCGAAATACAGGGGAGAGATTACATTTTAAAAAATCTTGTGCTGTCTATTGTTATTTTATTCTGTGTTCTGTTGCGCACTATGAAGAGATATGTCAGTTATGGAAATCAACACTCCGTTCCTTGGGCCTTGGATATTTTTTATATGCTTTTTTATATCCTCTGCACATGGAAGGGTCGCTTATCTGTCACCTCTGCATCTTTAGCGAAGACAGACCTTGCATTATCCAGATCCCCTTGCTGAACAGCTCGCTCAATACAAGAGCGTTGATAATGGTACGATCGTGTACTGCTACGCATCCCGCCTGCCATCCAAGACTGCCTGACGACATACTTGTGAATAGACTTTCTCAACTGTTGAATCGAATCGAATATGAGTCCCAATCGTATTCGATTTGAATTTTTTGATTCGAATATCAAGTGCATTTGATTTGACATCAGTCAAATAAGGACCCCATTCGATCCGACTTTTATTCGATTCGACCTTATAAAATCGAATAAAAGTCGAATAAAAGTCGAATCGAATTGAATCGGAGCACTATTAAAATTTGAAAATATCGATTCAAATCGGATCAAATGCCGAATGTCGAATATTCTTGAGAAAGTCTACTTGCAAACCATTTTTGTTCTGTGAAGAGCTCGCAAAATCGGGGTATGGCACCCTGCACACTGTGGTAACGGACCCATTGCTGCAATAAGACACTTGGAGAATCCTATTTCATAATGAGGCTTCTTTCATGGGGGAGTGGCTGGTGGCTGTAAGGGCGAGGATTGCTTGGTCGAATCCATAGCGGCCCCTTCATGTGCAGAGGATATAAAAAGGCATATAAAAAATATCCAAAGTCCAAGGAACGGAGTGTTGACTTCCATAACTGGCATATCTCTTTATAGTGGGCAACATGCAACAGTTGAACCTCCGATCAGAGTAGCTTTAGATAAATAGACACACACTACCATAATACATCCACATCTCTTACTTCCACTCCTCCTAAAGTTGCATGGTAGCAAAGGTTCACGAATCCACTGACCAGACCCCCGACCCCCCAGTACAAACCCCAGACCCCTCCAGTTCCCCTGACACCTCACCCAGCACCTCTTCCATCCCCTCGCCCTGTCTTCCCCCTATCGACACGTATTTTATCACAGATTTTTTATCGGAACTCACCATCATGAACAACGACAACCAATCCCTTCCCACCATCATTGAACTCGACACCACCTCCAAACCCGCCAAGTATGACGGCACTCGCGATGGCTTCAAATGCCTTGCGTGGCTAAAGGAGGTGCAACGCTACTTCACCATGAAGAACGTACCTGACAGAAAACGCACCATTCATGCCGTCAACCTCCTTAACCAAACCTCTCTCCTCTGGTGGGAATCCCTTAACATCGACGACACCTGCGAGTACCTCACCTTCACAACCTTGTTCAAGAAGGCATATATGCCTGACGGCTTCCTTGAACACGTCCGCGGCCTCCTCCTCAATGCCAAGCTCACCACCAACCTCGCCGAGTACCTTACCCGCATCCGCCTCTACATGAACATTTTACTTGCGGAGGATCCCACCGGCCGCGTCTTCCTTGAATCCACCGTCAGAGTTGTTTTTCTCCAAGGCTGCCCCGACGACCTGAGGCAATTACTTCAGACTGATCAGGTATCTAACCCCAACAACACTTTTTTCGACATGTGCTCCAAGGCTGAAGGATTTGACACCATCTATGCTTCCGGACCCAGAGGCGCCACCAAGGGTATGTTCGCCAAGGCTATGAATAACATCCGCTCACAAACCCCGACCTCCAACTCAGCCCCAACCTCCGCCCCCGCCTTCGACCCAATGGCGATGGAGATTGATAACATCAGTGTCGACCCCACCACCCGCGCACTCATGTCCTCGGTCCAGTCCCTCACTATCGCTGTCAACGCTATGGCATCTCAGTTCAACAACCAGCAACAGCAACAAAACCGCCCGCGCCTTGCCCGCCTCACCGATGAAGAAAGACTATACTTGGAGAACAACAACGGCTGTTTCAAGTGCCGCCGACCCAATGCCGGACATTACTCCTGGGACTGTGGGAAAAACCGCAATACGCCCCGACCTCCCAGGTCCCAGGCCGTCAACAACATTGCTTACGTGGGCAACCCCCCAACAGACCAGTCGGGAAATGCCCCCAGCAACTAGGTGCAGTCCAGGACTCAGTTGCTGAAACCCCCTCCTTTTACCCCAGCGGTGAAGGGAGTGCTCACACACCAGAGTTAAGTTCAAAAGAAAAAATAAAAAAGTCGCCAGATCTATCAGTTGAAAGTACTTCTAGCCAAACTCAGATTTCAAACTCAATTCGTGATGCTCACTCCCCCCCCACCCTGGCACCTTCACTGGACCAGACCCCAACCTTTGACTCGTCCCATATTGTGTCTAGAACTTCAGATGGCCCAGACCTGGACCTGACCGCCCCTGTTGTGTCGACCACACCGCCTACGAAGCGACAGTTGAGAAGACGGAGACAAAAGCAATTGCGTCTCTGTTCATTTTCTATCGCCGAGGCTGAGCGCCAACTGCTCACTTTTAATTGCCTTGTCAGCGGCTTTCCGGCTCGCGTGCTGATTGATGGCGGTGCTGAAGGTAACGTGATCAGTACCTCATTTCAAAAGAAAAACAATTTGTCACGAACCGTCATCAACCCCATTCCTGTCCTCCTTCCCGACGGCTCATCCTCCATCACCAACCATACTGTCAACATCACCATCGAACGCAACGGCTACTCCGACACTCTCGACCCCATTCTCTACCCACTCAAGAAATACGACCTGATTCTGGGAAAACCATGGCTCACACACATCAACCCTCAAATCAACTGGCGTACAAATGCTCTACACTTCACCCACAACAACACATCCATCAAATGGGACTGCACAGGATTTAAATCAAACAGCATCCAAACCCGCACCAAAGGTCTCCTCCTCTCCCACCTACACTTTCATACCATGGCTACCCTCCCCGGCTCGGACATATTCTTGGCTCTGGTCAAGTCCTCGAAGGATCTGCAGAAGGACAAGGACAGGAATGACAAGGACTCACCATCGCCACCCAAGCGCCCTCTTATGACACCTGAGATCAGGTCAATCGTCGAAGATGAGTTTAAGGACGTATTCCCCGACACACTTCCCAGCGGCCTCCCACCAGACAGAGGCGATGCGATGAAAATCGAGACAGACCCCACAGCAGACCCACCATTCAAGCCAGTCATTCGCCTCTCCATTGCAGAACTCGACGAACTCAGGAAGCAGCTGGATGAATTACTCGCCAAAAAATTCATCAAGCCCAGTACATCACCTTACGGCGCTCCAGTACTTTTCGTTCGGAAAAAGGATGGCACCCTGCGTATGTGCGTGGACTACCGAGCTTTGAACGGGATCACCAAGAAAAATCGGCATCCACTCCCCAGGATCGACGAGCTAATTGACCGTTTTCGTGGCGCACGTTATTTCAGTAAACTGGATCTACTCTCAGGATACCACCAACAGAGGATCTACGAACCACACACACACAAAACAGCATTCCGATGCAGATATGGACACTTTGAATTTAACGTCGTCCCATTCGGCCTCACCAACGCACCCGCCTCCTTCTCCAACATGATGCTAAGGGTACTCGACCCGGTTTTGGATAAATGGGTTGTTGTCTATCTAGACGATATTCTTATCTACTCTAAAACTAAGGCCGAGCATCTAAAGCACCTTCGCAGCGTCCTCGCCCTCCTTCGACAACATGGACTTTACGCCAAACTCAGCAAGTGTTCGTTTATGCAGGAGGAAACCGAATTTCTTGGACACACCATCTCCAAGGACGGGATCTCAACTTCAGCAGGACTTGTCAAAGCCATTCGGGAATGGCCACGCCCCACCAGCATCAAAGACATCCAACAGTTCCTGGGCTTGGCACAATTCTACCAGACTTACATTGACAAGTTCGCCCAGATCGCCCTTCCGCTCTCTCAGCTTCTAGCAGGCGGCGCAACTTTTTCATGGGATAATGACAAGGAACAGGCATTTCTCTCCCTTAAAACCGCCATCAGCTCTGCCCCGGTCCTACGCATATTCGATCCCGACTTGCTAACAACCGTCGAGACCGACGCATCCGGATTTGCTATCGGCGCTGTTCTCTTTCAGACGGACGCATCAGGAGTATCCCGACCCGTTGCTTTCACTTCACGGAAACTTCAACCGGCAGAGAGAAACTACCCAACCCATGAGCAGGAGCTACTGGCAGTTGTGCATGCCCTCAGGACGTGGCGATACTACCTGGATGGATCCCACTTTGTCGTGTACACGGATCATGCAACCCTCCGCCATTTTCCGACACAACCAAAACTCACCCGCCGCCAGGCTCGATGGATGGAGCTACTGCAGGAATATGACTTCGACTTCAAGTACAAGCGCGGAGCCGACAACACAGTACCCGACGCCCTATCTCGCCGACCCGACCATCGTGCAGAAGATCCTGTCAGCCCAACAACAGACACAGTCGAGATCCATTCAATCGATATCCAACTTGAACCAGGTGTGAGGCAGCGCCTGATAGAAGACTACCAGAGCAGCCCCAGGCTCAGTCTCGTCTACAAAAGCTGCCTCGAGGGAAGTGCCCCCTCTGGTTACTCTTTTCATAATGGTCTTCTCTACTATGATCGCCGTGGTACCACCGTCCTTGCCATACCACAGAAAGCTGACATTTGCCGCTCTCTTTTACATGACTGCCACGATACCCCCATAGCTGGTCACTTCGGGTTCAGGAAGACATACGACAAACTGCGACGGATGGCATACTGGCCCAACATGGCCAAGGAGACTCAACTCTACGTCGACTCATGCGAGAAGTGTCAACGCAATAAGCCAAGTCAGGAGCGACCTGCAGGACTCCTCCAACCTCTCCCCATCCCCGCCAGTCGCTGGGAGGTTGTGACCATGGACTTTATGACCCACCTACCCAAGACACCCCGCAACCATGATGCCATTACCGTCTTTGTCGATAAATTATCGAAGCATGTCCACTTCGTTCCCAGCACCACCACCGCTACCGCCACCGACGTTGCTCGCCAGTTTTTCGACAATGTCTTCCGCCATCATGGAATGCCAACGACAATCGTCTCGGATCGCGACAGCAAATTCACCAGTCACTTTTGGCAGGAACTTCATCGACTCATGGATGTCAAGCTTGCAATGTCAACAGCCTATCACCCACAAACGGACGGACAGACGGAGGTCATGAACAAGACACTAGGAGTTATGCTACGCGCTTTCATCGACGAAAAACAGACCAACTGGGATACCCTCCTTCCAGCCGCGGAATTTGCATATAATAACTCCGTCAACCACTCGACCGGCTATTCACCTTTTTTCCTCAACACCGGCCAACATCCCCGCATCCCCGCCAGTCTCCTCTCCCACACCGACAGCAACGTACCCAGCGTTCACAACTATCTTGATCAACAGTCGACAGCACTACTTTTCGCACAAGACGCACTACAACGAGCCCAGGATCATCAGAAGGAACAGGCCGACAAGAGAAGACGCGACCACGACTACAAGGTCGGCGACAAGATCCTCCTTAGTGCAGAGAACATCACCATGCCAGCCGACAGTGGACTCAGCTCGGATAAACTCAAACCTCGCTTCATCGGACCCTTTACATTGCTGGAGCAGCGATCACCAGTCACTTTTGGAGGCCATCCATGTTCGGCTCCACCAACCATAGACTACAGTATAAAAATATCTGTCAACACCTATTAAAACAGTGTGTTCCTTGAGAGTACAACAAATCTCATCAGCTTTTTCCTTCCACCAGTCTCCATTTTCTACATTCACCACCACTACTTTGTAACATCATCTACTTTAGCTGAGAAAGCCTTGGACATGATCATCTCATATTGGATCCTGGATATTACAGATAGTAATTTCCTTTCCAATATGAGATGATCATGTCCAAGGCTTTCTCAGCTAAAGTAGATGATGTTACAAAGTAGTGGTGGTGAATGTAGAAAATGGAGACTGGTGGAAGGAAAAAGCTGATGAGATTTGTTGTACTCTCAAGGAACACACTGTTTTAATAGGTGTTGACAGATATTTTTATACTGTAGTCTATGGTTGGTGGAGCCGAACATGGATGGCCTCCTTTCTAGTCGACCTACCGCCCTCCTACAACATCCACAATGTCTTCCACGTCGACCTCTTCCGCCATCACATCGAGTCACCACTTGCATTTGGCCGCCGAACATTAGCACCACCACCACCAGTTGTCATCGAGGGCAATGAAGAATACGAGGTCGAGTCCATTTTGCGTTACAGGAAATACCGACGGCAACACCAGTTCCTTGTGTCATGGAAAGGGTACGGACGGGAGGACCAAACGTGAGAGCCCGTCGCCAACCTGGAGAACTGCCGCGACCTAGTTGACGCGTTCAAAAAGGACCAGGGGATCGTTTTTTAAAAGGGGAAGGTGCAACAGTTGAACCTCCGATCAGAGTAGCTTTAGATAAATAGACACACACTACCATAATACATCCACATCTCTTACTTCCACTCCTCCTAAAGTTGCACAACAGAACACGGAATAAAATAGCAATAGACAGCACAAGTTTTTTTAAAATGTAAACTCTCCCCTGTATTTCGCCCCAAAGATACAGTTGAGAGTACAAGTGCTTTAGATGATGACATACAAGAACTACTCTGGCGAATCTTGCAGTGAGGGTTACAGGTTAATAGTAGATGGACATATTCAAGAGTGTGGTGTGCGAAAAATAAGAAGACTTTGTTGTTTGGAGAATAGGTTGGTGTTTAGTAGGATAGTTAAACAAAAAATGTTACAATGGTTGTCTTATATGCTTGGTATCATACATACACTCTCCTCTAATGGACGCGGTGGATATCGTCAAGATCTGCAGAGATGTAACAAACACCATATGATAATTTGGACTTGAAAGGCCTCCAATCTAATCGATTTATTTGAATTCCCTATGGTTTGCATTGGGTTTGTGCGCATTCGAGTCGAAAATTTTAATCCGTTTCGAATGCGCACAAATCCTAAGCAAAACATAGGAAATTCGAATAAATTCGATTAGACGCTCTACTTGTAGTCTCGAACTATTGAACCACGTCAGCAATTGCAACGTAAGCATCCCCGTCTGAAATGGCATCAAAGCTTGCTTCGCAGTTGTTACCATTATAACTTAGGAGTTGTGCTGTAAAGAGGCGGCAATCTGAGCAATTGTGGTCTGTTTACTCTAAAATACCGTTTGTTTTCCTTTATAGTAGGGACAGTAACAACTTGTCGACCTTTGTTGGCCGTTCCCACGTCCACGATGCTTGGCACACCTACTGATGGAGGAGGAAGAGGAGGTAAAAGGGGGGAAAGAGGGAAAAGAAGAAGAGGAGGAAGAAGAAGAGGAGGAAGAAGAGGAGGAATGAGGAGGAAGAGTAAGGGGTGATGGCATTGAGTTTGGCGGTGATAGTGGTGGTACATTTGGTGGAAAGGAAGTGGAGAGTGGAGGAAGTAGAGGGAGCGCTAGCAGTAGAGCGACCTTGTTAAGTTGGTCGCCTTGGCCCGTCTGTATCCTGTAAAGGTCGCAGAAGGAGAGACATCAGGGGTGGAAGTGGTAGTAAGAGTGACACGGTGAGAGCGAGTGGAAGGTATGCTGGCTACTGACAGATAAAAAAAAAAAAAAAAAAAAAAAAGAGAAAGGAAGGAAAGAAAATATGCTTGTCCGTGAAAGAGAAAGAAAAGTCATCGGCTCTACTCTCTCCATTCTCCATTTTCGCATCTTAACATGCTTACTGCTTACCGGCAGATCTTCTTACCGGCGTGGCTCTCATTCCGCAGTCGCATTTTAACATGGTTACCGGCAGATCTGCTTACCGGTATGACTCTGATTGCAACCCCCATCCATCTCTCATTTTAATTTAATTAACTTTAAACTAAAAAAAACGCACACAGCACACACAACACACACAACACACACAAACACTTACACACACACTACACATACACCATACACACCATACACACACCACAACACCACACACACCACAACACCGTGAGAAAGAGAAAGAGGGAACATCACATGATTTACGATAAGTCAGGTGATGGAGATAACGATTTTGTATTAGTAGAAGATAGGTTCCTGGTCTGGTGTGTCCTTTGTGGACTGCTGTTCCAGGTTACTACTGTCAACTCCCTCTAGAACATAACAGTAAAAGACGCTTTCCCGCATCTCTTGGCCACTAGGTTTCCATGGAACCATATGCCTGTAATGATCATGACCATGGCCATTAAGAGATTACGCATTTGCTTCAGCGATGAAGCGCTTGAGTAGTACAGTGTCGTTATTGTTAGCGATCCATGGGCAACGGTGCTCTTGCTAGTTTTCTTTGTTTCATTCTTTTTGTCTTAATTCCGATCGAACAGTCAGAAATATATTAACGTTGGTAATATTTACTCTCCTCTCTATCTTATTATCCAGAGCTTTTATGCACGTTCTAACATCGGAAGAAAAGAGGCAGGCTGCAGATGGATTTGTCCATGTATTGAAACGAATGCTACGCAATCAAAGAAGCAAAGAGAGAGGAAAGAAGTGCAACAGTCCAATAGCTGGGAATACTGTGGGAAGCTACTATATGAAAATCGTTGACATCCTGTTAAAATAAAAATAACAAGTCCAAGAAAGGTCATGTGCGCCATCTTGTTGTTTGCCTATAGCCGGAAAAGTAATTTCTTACGGTTTTTCATTTCGGCTTTGTTGGTGTGTAAAATGTTGGCGGATGAATCCGCGGGCACAATGATTGAGGGGGGGTACAAAGTCCCGGGTGCAGAGAGGTGTCTGTCCATTCTTCTTCAGTAGAGACCGTTGTTGTTGTGCAGGATTGAAATTTGCCTGGTACTGCTGCTCCTGTAGTGTAGGTTGTGACTCCTGTGGAGTCGCCAGTATGGCCTTCGGCACCTGTCCATGCGACTGGTGTGTTTGCCAAACTATTCAAGGGATGTTGGGCGTGGACAGGGGTACTGAGTTCCGACTGTAAAGGAGCTTGAGCGTGGGTGTGGACAGAGGCACTGGGAACTAGGCCGCGACGAGAGGTGCTTGGTCTTCGTGGGTTAGATACAAGACCCTGAACTTTTCTCGCCAGAGACAGGATATGCTCCTAGCGATGCGGTATTAAAAGTTGTAAGTACATTTGAAACAACGCTGGGTAACAAGGAAATCGTTTATGCTTACTTACCCTGTATGCCAAGAGGCGCTCCATACCATCCTCAAGTAAAAAACCGCCCAACTCGAACTCATTTGATGGGAGGCGCAATGGAGGTTCTTCCGTTTCGCAACATAGCATCACATCTTTGAATGGACACATAATGTTCCAGGTCCCCTCGAGTCCTAGCATAGAATGAGGAAAAATCAAGGATATATAAATGGGCAACAACACAACTGTCATTGCTAAAAGCAAGTAAATATAAAGTCAACCCACCTACAACATCCTGATACACATTGCCGGTGGCCATGGGTACTTTTTCCGTTCATGACAATGCTCTTATTGAGGCGCATATTTTTCTTCCTTTGGATGTCTGCTGCCAACCCCGACGATCCAAGGCCTCTGTGCTCATCGTTACTCAAGGTAAACGGCTCAAAGCGCTGACCCGTCTTGATGGTGGCGATCAATCTGAAATCAAGCTTGCGGCCAGATACGCCAGCTCGACCAATCGCGGCCTTCGAGCCTACAACAACACGAACAGCAACTTGATCTCTCTGGGCCTCTCTGAGGATCGTTTCCCCACTATAAATTTCAAATTGCGGTTAGCACAGATGATCGAACACTCAGGACAGTTAAAAAAGAGCAATAAAAAAGACTTCACTTACACTTCTACCTCCACCACCGTGCAAGCAAAAAGAACTTCCCACACTGCATACCAAACAAAGAGTGTGAATGACTCTGTTCTCTTGGAACGACCGAATTTGTCCGAAACACACCGCTTCACGCTAAGCAAGGGAATAATAAATGTATGCATTAGTCTAGTGTCCAGGGGAAAAAAGTCTTGAAACACAATTACCACCAACAATGAAATGACTTACAGGATCATCAATATCTCGGCAACCACCATCTTTGTTGATCCCTCCTCGAAGTGAGCCATGTCTATTCTGAGCTGGTGCTTCAGATCATCTAGTCGCGCCTCTTCCACATCGTCGTTCACGTCCACAAACACTTGGTACGACTTAATCTGTTCGCGAACAGAGGGAAATGCAAAGCTAACTCCTGCTCTGCATCTTCGGACAAGATCGTCTCATTGTGGGAATAAAGCGTGTAGCTCTAGATCGACAATACCGCTAACCGCGACACTATTGACATTAATAGAGGAAAAGTCAGATGACATGAATTGAGGAAAAGGCAGAAGGCGTGAATGTATGCAAAGTATATTCCATTACAGCAAATTGGAGATTACAAGACGTCTTTTTGCTCCGATGGTGCCATGGTTCTGAATGCGTCCAGACGCGAATAAACGAGGTTCCACAAAAAAGACTGTTGTGTGCTCAAAGCTGGTTTTGGATTTGGTGTTTGAAACCTTTCGCCCCGTGCCTAATGAAAGGAGTGCAAGAAGAGAGACGTATGAGCTACGATACAACCTCGACACCGCAGTGAATACAGAGAAGAGACGAACTTACCGCATGGTAGAGTGCCCGAAAGAGTGGATAAAATCCAGGTTCGGTGTCCTTCTCCGCCTCGCGGAGTTCTCGAATAACGTTCCAGTGGCTTTCTTCATCCTGGACACCTGCCTCATCTTCTAATACTTCACTGTCGCTTTCGCCATCGCTTGCTTCATCGCCGCCTGCTTCATCGCCGCCTCTCGTCTTCTTTGAGGTTGATCGGATTTGGTAGCGAGCGCTCCGGTTTTTTTGTAGGGGGATTGACGAGATTGACGCGTCACCCTCATCTCCCGTCAACGCTTCATTCTAATAGCACAAGTAAGGCATACATATTAGCATAGATTAGAGAACAAGGCGCAATTTTTTTTGTAACAGTGGACAACTTGCCTGGATGGCCTTGGAAAGCTCGTTTGTTGCCGCGTCAACCAAACCTATGGTTGCGACCGACTTTCCTTTCTTAATGGATACTGACTGTCTCTATTGCATCCAAAATAAAGTAGCATGAGATTTGTTCGTTTTCCAAGTATTGAATTTCCTGATGACCGAAGTCTTCGATTGGGCCTTCAGTCGCGACTTTTCGACGGCCGCCTTGAAATCAAGGTACGCAATTTGTGGATCGGTGTACAAAAACTTGGTCGCGAACCCCTCGATAGTGTGGTCAGAGGTTTCCTCTACCCACTTCTGGTGGATTGTGGGAACTTCCATTATTCTAGCTTGTGGAGTACGAAACCAGAAGATTAATAGTATCAGGTAGTCACTTCGCAATTGAGGGAAGTACGGGAGTTAAATATGGCTGTAGAGAATTTAGCATGCCTTGTAGATGCCAGCCTGTTTGTCATTATTTTCAAAGAGACAAGTAAACCATCGTTTCCCGACCAAAGGTCCAGGCAGGGGCATTTCCTTGTATTAACAAGGCGCAGGCATGTCTGGTTCAGAATGGAGTTCAGAGTGCATAAAAAACCTGCCCAACACACATCTGGAAACAGAAATGAAGGTCCAGCCAGTTTAATGCAGCATTCTCCTATCTCTTGTAGACAAAGGCCACTTAGTCCCTCTTTCAAAGAGACAAGTAAACCACCGTTTCCCGACCAGAGGTCCAGGCAGGGGCGTTTCCTTGTATTAACAAGGCGCAGGCATGTCTGGTTCAGAATGGAATTCAGAGTGCATAAAAACCTGCCCAACACACACCTGGAAACAGAAACAAAGGTTCAGCCAGTTCTACGAAACCTCGATCCCAATTCTTCAACTTACTTTCTCAAAAGGCGCGCAAGCTCAAATGCGAATCGGTGCGTGGGCAGAGTTGATGCAACATATTAGGTTTATCATTGCGCTCTAGTTAATCATTTCATGTCACTCTCTATCATCTCTGACTCTGTATAACACTACACCTAGAAACCTAGTTGGCGACTTTGTATATATATTTAGTTGTACCATAGTAATAATATCAATCATCACTGCTTCAACTCTCGTCCCCGTTCTATACTTCTCTGTCCCAGTCTTCGCCTGTTGCAGTTGAGTCTGAGTGTGGTCGACAGGGCGCTGAAAATGGGATGAGAAGAGAATCAAACGCTGCGGTGATGCTCTTCTCACCATTGATATTGATGGACTGTGGAAAGGGGCGATGCATGTCTGAGCCCTCCTCATCGGTCATTTCAACCCAGAGGTGGCTTAGGCAGGTTGTGACGTCTTTTTTCGCCCTTCTCTGGGATCCCGTTTGATGTAGTAGTAAAGCACCCCTCTCACAATCTATAGGTCCCGGGTGGGAGAGCGTTTGGCTTGGCGCATCTTACTCTCACCAAGGAGTTGAGGGCTCATATCTCTTCTACAGCGCGAAGTCTTCCCCCCAAAATCCAGAGTCTTGCCGCTGCCTCCTGCAAATTTTCTTAAGAAGTACTATCTTCTTCAAAACCCATAGAGGCTTGTTGAAGGTTTAAAAAAAATCTTACTCCTTCCTTTATCTGTTTATCACCACATTTTACTTTCTTTTAATGCTTCGCAACGCCATGCCTAACAGCGACCTGACCTTCTTCTGCGTTGTTGACGGTGAATCGATCCCGTTCCTCGTTGCGAGTTCAGTGATGTCGATGCAGACATGCTCACACTCTGGCGCGTCTCAATCCTCGTAGTGCCCAAGAAGGATTGCAAGGAACTCTTGCTGGCTTAAAGGTGAATAAGAAATAAGTGACCCAGAGGAAAAGTGACCTTTTGAAAAGGTCTTTTTTGGGCAACTGCACGTGACCCTTGAGAATGTCAAGTCGACCAAAAAATAAACAAAAATAGTCATTAGGTCACTTTTGAAAAAAAAAAAAAAAAAAGCGAAAAGTGAATTCGAAGCTGCCCTTTTTCGGTATATCGAACACGTCCTAGAAAAGTCTTCAGAGGACACAGCTAAACTTGTTTTGGGCGTTGCAGAGCTCGCCTATAGAGCGTTGACCAAGAAAGGACAGGTAACAAACGTGCGCTTGCTGCTTGTCTTCTTATGTCTGAAGCGCATACATGAAAACCTTGCCGACCAACCGTAAGATGACTATCATGGAGGCGGTCACGCATTGCTACTACTACATGGAGAGATTTGAGGTTGACGATGAACTTATATCGACAGGGTACTCTCTTAGCTATGGCAGCAAAGATAAACCAATCCCCAAGTATGTTGATCCCAAGTACTACAATGATGGCGAGCCAAACCTACGGTCTATCCCCAACAAGCCTGAACGCTCCTCTTTGTCCTCTGGTCAAGACAACTATCCGCCCACCCCTTTTTCTCATGATGAGATATTATCCTCACAAGCCCAGCCTTACTCGCCCTCCTTTCAAGATCTAAAGTGCCCCACAAAAGTGTTCAACCAAAACACGATTTCGCCGTTTTTTTTGAAATGCTCATTCACCAATGTTCCAGCTGGCCTCCAGATTCCTGTCATTCATTCTCTTGATTCGTAACCCCATTCACCACTACTTGCCTTTTTTTGCATGAACCCACATTGGATCATCGCCGGAATTGAAATGCCTAACTCCGCTTGAACAATTAAATGGATTACATGCATCACGATCTCCTTTTTCAACTTGCGGGGCCTTCGTAGTTTCTTACTACCTCTACATTTTAACGAGTTACTTCCTCAATCCTATATGACATTGTGTCCAGGTTTGGAGTTCCTACTCATAGTCTTTTGTATGTGACTTATATGCATGATTTTACATGGGTTTAGCATGTATTTAGCTGTTTTTTTAATACCACAAGCTCAATGCACTTTCAACAGGCAAACTGAGAGCTGGCCCATATATAAGACATGTTGTGGATCAGCAGCATAGAAAAGGTATGAGATTACCGCAACGTTAACATGAGATATCACTAAAGTAAGTATTGTTACATGGAGTTAGCATGACTTTATCTTGTCACGATATTACACTTCATTGAGAGTAGCTGGTGTATTACATTAAGGACTTTTAGATTCCACAACATGTCTTATATATGGGCCAGCTCTCAGTTTGCCTGTTGAAAGTGCATTGAGCTTGTGGTATTAAAAAAACAGCTAAATACATGCTAAACCCATGTAAAATCATGCATATAAGTCACATACAAAAGACTATGAGTAGGAACTCCAAACCTGGACACAATGTCATATAGGATTGAGGAAGTAACTCGTTAAAATGTAGAGGTAGTAAGAAACTACGAAGGCCCCGCAAGTTGAAAAAGGAGATCGTGATGCATGTAATCCATTTAATTGTTCAAGCGGAGTTAGGCATTTCAATTCCGGCGATGATCCAATGTGGGTTCATGCAAAAAAAGGCAAGTAGTGGTGAATGGGGTTACGAATCAAGAGAATGAATGACAGGAATCTGGAGGCCAGCTGGAACATTGGTGAATGAGCATTTCAAAAAAAACGGCGAAATCGTGTTTTGGTTGAACACTTTTGTGGGGCACTTTAGATCTTGAAAGGAGGGCGAGTAAGGCTGGGCTTGTGAGGATAATATCTCATCATGAGAAAAAGGGGTGGGCGGATAGTTGTCTTGACCAGAGGACAAAGAGGAGCGTTCAGGCTTGTTGGGGATAGACCGTAGGTTTGGCTCGCCATCATTGTAGTACTTGGGATCAACATACTTGGGGATTGGTTTATCTTTGCTGCCATAGCTAAGAGAGTACCCTGTCGATATAAGTTCATCGTCAACCTCAAATCTCTCCATGTAGTAGTAGCAATGCGTGACCGCCTCCATGATAGTCATCTTACGGTTGGTCGGCAAGGTTTTCATGTATGCGCTTCAGACATAAGAAGACAAGCAGCAAGCGCACGTTTGTTACCTGTCCTTTCTTGGTCAACGCTCTATAGGCGAGCTCTGCAACGCCCAAAACAAGTTTAGCTGTGTCCTCTGAAGACTTTTCTAGGACGTGTTCGATATACCGAAAAAGGGCAGCTTCGAATTCACTTTTCGCTTTTTTTTTTTTTTTTTTCAAAAGTGACCTAATGACTATTTTTGTTTATTTTTTGGTCGACTTGACATTCTCAAGGGTCACGTGCAGTTGCCCAAAAAAGACCTTTTCAAAAGGTCACTTTTCCTCTGGGTCACTTATTTCTTATTCACCTTTAAGCCAGCAAGAGTTCCTTGCAATCCTTCTTGGGCACTACGAGGATTGAGACGCGCCAGAGTGTGAGCATGTCTGCATCGACATCACTGAACTCGCAACGAGGAACGGGATCGATTCACCGTCAACAACGCAGAAGAAGGTCAGGTCGCTGTTAGGCATGGCGTTGCGAAGCATTAAAAGAAAGTAAAATGTGGTGATAAACAGATAAAGGAAGGAGTAAGATTTTTTTTAAACCTTCAACAAGCCTCTATGGGTTTTGAAGAAGATAGTACTTCTTAAGAAAATTTGCAGGAGGCAGCGGCAAGACTCTGGATTTTGGGGGGAAGACTTCGCGCTGTAGAAGAGATATGAGCCCTCAACTCCTTGGTGAGAGTAAGATGCGCCAAGCCAAACGCTCTCCCACCCGGGACCTATAGATTGTGAGAGGGGTGCTTTACTACTACATCAAACGGGATCCCAGAGAAGGGCGAAAAAAGACGTCACAACCTGCCTAAGCCACCTCTGGGTTGAAATGACCGATGAGGAGGGCTCAGACATGCATCGCCCCTTTCCACAGTCCATCAATATCAATGGTGAGAAGAGCATCACCGCAGCGTTTGATTCTCTTCTCATCCCATTTTCAGCGCCCTGTCGACCACACTCAGACTCAACTGCAACAGGCGAAGACTGGGACAGAGAAGTATAGAACGGGGACGAGAGTTGAAGCAGTGATGATTGATATTATTACTATGGTACAACTAAATATATATACAAAGTCGCCAACTAGGTTTCTAGGTGTAGTGTTATACAGAGTCAGAGATGATAGAGAGTGACATGAAATGATTAACTAGAGCGCAATGATAAACCTAATATGTTGCATCAACTCTGCCCACGCACCGATTCGCATTTGAGCTTGCGCGCCTTTTGAGAAAGTAAGTTGAAGAATTGGGATCGAGGTTTCGTAGAACTGGCTGAACCTTTGTTTCTGTTTCCAGGTGTGTGTTGGGCAGGTTTTTATGCACTCTGAATTCCATTCTGAACCAGACATGCCTGCGCCTTGTTAATACAAGGAAACGCCCCTGCCTGGACCTCTGGTCGGGAAACGGTGGTTTACTTGTCTCTTTGAAAGAGGGACTAAGTGGCCTTT